TATAGATTGTAGGTATCGAAACAAGTAGCACTTCAATTTACCTCGGAGACACGAAATTTCATCTCTACCTCAATGTGAAACACAAACCAAGTTTGAGGTCATGTTCATTAGTGAAACCAAGACATGCAAGATGTGTACAAAAGGACACTCAAAAACTGGTTGAAAACGATGGACTAGACTGTGGTTCTCCTACTTCAAAAGAAGACTCCCTTCAAAATGCTATACTAACCTCCCGAGAATTCATACTAGCACAACATCCAAACAATTCAAAGCACAATTAGTAGGGATCATGCATGGGATAAGGTGTTTTGAACCATAAACTTTAAAATTTTGACCATTCAAACTAGGTTCCAAAACACTCATAATGTATGCTAAAATCATTCATTCATCTACACATGCTTGGAGCCCTCAAGTTGTAGAAATTTTGGCAATAACAAGGCTCCATAGCATTCAATAAGTAGGCCATCAACTCACATTCACATTCGCTCGCCATTCATATACACATTCAACACACCCTACACTTAAGCACGACATTGTCCCCAATGGAGCAAGAATAAGGGTGGAACAAAGTTACTGAGTCATTGGCGAGTGAAAAGTCATACTGGAGAGAAGACCGGCTTTGAGAGATAGAGAGCTATCACAAGGAACAAAAAGCCAAACAGACACAAACTCACCAAAGGTGAGGTTATATCACAAACTCAATATTTATAGTTCACAAGAAAACAAAAACAAAAACGAACTAAGTAGTCCAAATTCGAACACACGAAAAGAAAACAAGAGTCTTAATTCATGGTGAAGTGGAGTGGAGTGGTTAAATGGTGCCCACATGGTACTAAGGCTGGATCATCATAGTCCTGGCAAGGTGGATCCGACTGATGAGGAGGAGAGGGAGCCCAGTATGGATCCAGGAAGCTAAGTCCCTATGAGCGTATGAACTCTAATTTTCATGAATAATGCAAAAACAAATAGATAATCAATCATTTCACTTCGGGGAAATCCAATTAAATATATAATTAATCATGCAAATCAACACATAAAATTCACAAGCATTCAAGTGAATAGGAGTACTACTCCATGCCTAGAGTGAGAAATACAACCAAATAGAAGGAAACCATCATGGAGATGAGAAGCTCCTCCTTCTTGGTTGCTTGGGATGGTCTTGAAGATAGAACCAAGCTTCCTTAGGTGTTGGGTGGCTGATATCCTCCTTCAATCTTCTTTTGTTCGTCACTTTTTCTCTCTAGTTTGAAGAAGATCTCCAACTCTCACTCAATAAGCCAATCTCCTAAAAAATATGTTCTCCCTTATCTTTTAAACCTTCTTTATGGCCACGCATCACGCCCATGATGTGTGTAGTGAAACCATGATGTAGTTTGAAAATGCACTGTTTCACTTACACACTTAGCAGTTTACTTGCAATCTTCATGTCCTGCGCCTTTGATCTGTGCAATAGCGCGAGATGTTCAAAGCCTTCTGGAAACTTGCATCGATCACAATTTTTGGGTAATCTTCACGCACTGAGCCCACAAAGATCTACCCTGAACCGTGAAGCATGACATTTATAGTACTTGGCTCCGTTTTGGCTCCATTTCATCCGACTTTTGATCCTTTTGTCCATTTCACCTACTAGAGCCCGGAACATACTAAAACATGACAAAACCTAGTGTAAAATGCAGTGTTACTAAAAACCACCATGAAGCAGCCAACCGGTCAAAAAGCGGTCCGAACGGTTAACCGCACCGACTATCCGATCAGTTTTTAGAATTACGCCCATCCATATTAAAAAATTTAAAAAAATATGGTCGTGTGGCTTCGGGTCTCTGAACTTTCTCTTCTCTCCTTCCGTCCATCAATCCTTCCATCCACCATCCATCTTGATATTTCATTACAAGCTCATTTAGGGTGTCATCTTGTGCCTTAGATCCCTACATGCATTGGTTGAATGATCGTTATGGCAATAGAAATCATATAAATAATCGATCCAATCAAAGGCCACATCATTTTTCTGCACGAGTAGAAGACTAGTTTGGGAACTTTGCAAAGGCATTGAATTTTCTAAAAAATGGGAATCACTAAGGTTAACCATAATCACCATTCTTTTTTTCTTTTTATTTTATGGGATTATGTTGTTCTTTAAACTCCCTTCCAAAGGTGGGGAGGCAAAAGCTGCTTTTGTAAACAAGTGATAAATCCTGGGAGTTCTTAGGGTCATATAACACGAGGTCATTTGAAAGTAACTACTCAAATCTAATCAGATGTGTCGAATGATGATGAAATGAAAAGTAAAACAAGTGGGTTGAGGTTCCCTACAGATAATGGTCGAATTTCTACTCTACTAATGCAAACAACATGACAAACAATGCATGCAAGTGAAAATTATTTAAGGGAGTGTTTTCTTAGATGATCATGTATACTAACTCATTAATAAGATGCCACAATGACTCCTTTATTATGATGCCCTGTCCCTTCCACTAAGGCCAACCTACTCAAGATTTCGCCACATGTCATAGGAATTTACCTAGCTAATGGGTGCTTTTGCTTCATGCCATCAACTAATTAATGGAGAGCAAGGAAGTAAGGATAGCATATGGCTAAGTGTGGGCCTCTTGAGCCAAACATCAATATCTAGTAATCAATATGCATGCACGAATACGTTGTCAATCAATCCATAAACGCATGAGATATCACAAGAAAGTAGTTCCTTAACATCCTTGATGATATCATAAACGATGGCCATAGGAGCATATAATAGATTCATAAGAATCGAAAGAAAAGCATTAGATTATATAAGCATCGATGATACAAACGACATCTAATGAAACCAACATCTTATTGAATTATTGAAAGATACATGATCATCATAGACTTTACATCCCTAAACAATCTCGAGCTAGCATGCCAATAGGTAGAGAGAAGTTATCACGGTAATGGTATCAACATCATTGGTGTTGAGCTTAGATTCCTTCTTGAGAGAGCTAACCCGTGACTTGTGGGCAGCGTATGTAAAGGGGTAACTGTGAGGTCTAGAATAAGCCTGCTATTTATACTAGTTACAGAAGGCTATTTTTAGTCTAAAAAGTCCTTGTGTGACTTGAACTTGGATTCCTTCAACTTGGGGATGGAGTAAGGTCCTTACGAAAGCTTCTGGAGAGTTAGGGCTCGAGCGAAGGCTGGACGGCGATTAGGGCCAACGGCCATTTTTCTCTTGGCCCACAAGCAACATCTCTTCCAAATTTGAGCGTGTTTCGACTTATAGATATGCTTGTTTTGGTCAAAAAGTGAGTATCCGATGTCCAAATTCATCTCTATATGAGCCATGGAGCTTTCATTCTTGTCCTCCCTCTGACTAGTTGGGTCCCTTGGTGATCTATATTCGTCTTCAGTCCATTGTATCCTTGAAAAGTACAAAACAACACAAAAAGTTGCAAAATAGTACAAAAACACATTTAGATCTATCATAAGCTAATTATTCAAATAGTTATGAATTCCATCATGAAATATAATAGAAACTACTAAAGTTCCATTGATAGAGAGGGAAAATGTATCAAATATGGGAGTGATAAACACCATAAATGAAGTGTCATTAGAAATACCCCACACTTGAACTTTGTTTGTCCCCAAACAATCACTACTCACAATTATACAACTCAATGAGTTCTAGAGATCATAACTCAATCTTGATCTTAGATAGTGGATCATAAGTGAACTTACAAGGTCAGCAATAGGATGAGAGAATCCTAACCACATCAAAATACAAGAACATCATGCAATCCAATCCAAACATAAACAACTAACCATGCATTAGAGTTTCAAAAAACATTTGGTGAAGCTAGTGTAGGTCTATTTTCGTTTCTATATGCAAAACATCCACTTTAGCATGAGTTAGCTTGATATGAAGGTTTTCATGGGGAATTCATCCCCATTTTGTTGTATTTTATACTTTTCCAGTGTTTTTGATGAAATTTTAGGACTTAAAGCCATTTATGATTGATTGAAAATCGACTAGAGTTCATTTGAGCACGATTGGGAATCAAGAGAGGAAAAGCACAGGTCACGGCCACATCACCGCCTTTGACCAGGCTGTGACCATGTTCGCGGCCGTCAACACTGGCCTAGAACTTCAGCAAGCAGCGAACAAGAGGGTAGAAAGTTTCGGCACGTGAATCGTAGCCATGAGCTTTTCGACCGCAAAAAAGATCACGTTGTGACACCATAGTTTGTGGATGTGATCTTACGGAGGCCGCAATCTCGTAACTTGAAGATGAAGTCAAAATTTGAAGTTTTGGTCAATTCGACGCCTTTCTACGCTGGTCACGTCCTGGTAACGCCTAGGTCATGGCTGTGACCATTGGGTCATGCCCACAAGGCCGTGAATAGTGCACGGACACTATAAATACCCCCTTTTGTTCACTTGACAGAGCCGACTTTGAAAGAGAAAATAAGGGTTTTGGGCAGTCTTTTGAAAGAGCAAGGAGAAGGTGCATGAAAGGAAAAGAAGATAGTCTCCAACACTCGCTCTCTTCTTAGTTTGTGTTTTCTTCCTCTCTATGACTTACATCCCTAATGTTGTGTAGGAAAGATGAATCATAGTTTGTAGTTTGTTTATGGATTATGTGTGAATGATTATAAATCTATAAACTATTTCTACTTGATGTTTGTGCATAAATCTCTTGCTTACTGTGATTGATTGAATTCAGTCTAGGTAAGAACTTCTTCTCGGTTAAGGTGCATAGACACCACTTAGTGTGGGATTGTCTATATTCCATTTGCTTGGTTGTAACTTAGATAATCAAGGAGTATCATTATGTTACATATGGGTTTTTGGTGTGCTTGAGTTTACCTATATTTTTTATGCTTCATCTATAATAGATTATGTTGGGGCTTGTCTCTCCAACTCACTCTTAGAACTAGGTGGGAGTTGTAGAGCTAGACTGGAATTCAGCACCTTATGGCTAATTAGGAGTAAATGAATAATCTAGGAATATAGTTTGTGGACGAGGCAACCGTACCCCTGCTTATTAGATGTCCATCTAGTTAATGTTTGTGGGGTAACATGCATGAACATCAGCTTGCTCGACTTGTGTGCGGACGAATAAAATCCGTTTAAAGGAGGTAGTACGTACCCATAGTTAGTTATCCCAGTTGAGGTGACATTGGAGAAGGTGCCCACCTTAAAAGCATCATTGAAATAATGACTAGGACACCTCAGGAAGAGACTAGTTTATCTCTCCCATGCGTCCCGGATGGTCTCATCTTCATCCTGGGCAAAGTGGGTGATCTGCTTCTGCAAGTCCGCCGTTTTTGATGGAGGATGATAGCGGGTGAGGAACTTGTCCGTCAGGTTGGCGAACGTGGTGATCGAGCCTGGAGGTCGAGTGTCCAGTCACTTCTTGGCTTGCCTCTCCAGAGTAAATGGAAAGTACCTCAGCTGGATTGCATCGGCTGGGACCCCATTTATCTTGATTCCATCGATGAGCTCGTAGAATCGCCTCAGATGTGATCGCGGGCACTCCCCCTCTTTGCCACGGAATACTACCGAGCCGCGCAACATAGTGATGACCGAGGTGCTCACCTCAAAGTTGTTGGCTGGGACATGAGGGTGCTGAATGGGCGACCTCATGTCCGCGGCTCTATTGCAGCTGGGTTAGAGCCTCCTCCGCAGCCAGTCTCTCCATTAGAGCCCGCTTGAAGTTCCTACAGGTTCGTTCAAGCTCCTGGTCTAATGGTAGTAAATCTCCCGACTGGCTACGGGTCATGCACTACCTGCACACAATCAGCAAAAGCAACCCGTGAAGGCACATAGGTGGAAGAGAGAAAATGCAGTAAAGAAAAAGCTAGAGTAACGAACTTTCACGTTTCCCCAATAACCTAGAGGCTCCCCGGCAACGGCGCCAAAAACTTGACACGCTAAAACACAACACCAAACTACGACCAAGTGTAATCCCAGTCCGGAAATGCAGTAATAGGCAAGCTCTAATTGTCAACCCGGGGTCTAGATCTACTGCCTACTCCATGTATATCTGTTATCTAGCAAACTAAGTTAAGTAATTGTTGATTTAAGTAAAAGTAGTAAGAAAGCATGAAATGGTTCGGTTTTCTAAAGCAAAGGAAGAGTCACTCGGGAATGAGTCCCCCTATCTCCTTAGTTAGGTCATAGTTGTAATTACTTTTGGTTGTTTTACTGCTGATTATACTGCGGAAGATCCGACAGTAGCTTGGAATCTCTTAAGCTGACCAAGCCCTCTTAGTCAAACTACCCAGCAGACGACTAGTCTTCACCGGGATAGAACGCTAAGGCAATGAATACAGAACTCCACTACTGGAATTAGATTCCAATCAATAAAAAATAATCAGACTTCAATTGACTCAATCAAAACACTTCAATCGATTATAATAAAGCAATATCACAATCCAAACATAATTACAATCAAGATTCCTAACACATGGAACTAGGGTTCTTCATACCCAAGTGAGAGAGAGTTATACTCCATAGAGAGAGAGAGAGAGAGAGAGAGAGGGAAACAGAATACAAAGCAGTCATACTCATAACAATGGGAAGAATCTGCTATGGGATGTCAATCTTCACTCCTGGGGATGCAATCTGGGCTTCAATGTTGAGAAATCCACTCCAAATAGCTCCTAGGGTTTGTTCTTCGCACTTTCTCTCTCTAAAACTCTGTTTTTTATCCAAAAAGTCTATTCTTCTCTCCTTTGGCTCGAAATTGGGTTAAAACCCAGAAATTCCCGATCACACGGCCAGGCCACACGACCGTGTGGCTTTCCCAGCTGCCCGTATGAGTGTGCAAAACGCCGCGTTTCACTTAAGTGGCTTCAGGTACGCTACACGGCCAAAACCACACGGCCGTGTGGATTTTCAGGCTTCTAGTGTGAGCTCCCTGGACTTTCCACACGGCCACAAGGGGTCCCCCTACACGGCCAGTGTGGCTTGCCCGTGCAATTTGGTGCCACACGGCCAGGTCACACGACCGTGTGGGTTTTTAGGCGTGCCCGTTGTGGCTTCTCAGCTTCTCGCCAAACGTCCAATCTTCGTCCAATCGACCCCGAACTCACTACCAAACCTTCATTCACGTACTAGAACCTGAAATATCACAAGCAAGAACAACCTAGCGTGAAATCGGCCTAAAACACGAGAAATAAAACTCAAACGGTACAAGAATGGTGGAGAAAAACATGTGTATATATCAAGTCTTCACAACCAAAGTCGCAATTCCAAATATCCAGTTCCCACCTATTGCAAACAATCATCCACCAAGAGTCCCAAATGTGATTAAAATTCATAACCCGAAAGTCACCCCTCTCTAACTCCCCTTTGCAGTTGACAGAGCAAACCTCACACCCCAGTGATATTTTTCTTTGTTGTTTGTGAATGATAATGTGATCCTTGTGTTGGATGTCTTGGTAGTTGGTACTCTCTAATTGGATAAATAAGTTTGATTATTGCTTATATGATGTATTGAAATTTGGATTTAAATTATGAATTACGATGAATGTTGTATTGATATTATTTCTTATGAAATTTGGATTTGGTTAACCGCCAAACTAAACGCTAACTAAACCGATAAAAGACGATTAACTGATAAAGCTTATCGGTTTGGTCATCGGTAATGATTTTTTGCTTATTAGTTAATGGCTAACCACTATATTGGTTAGTGGTTAATCGAATTGAACTGATAACACCTAAATTGGTGTTATTTACCCTTCATATTAAGGTTTTTTCATGCAAATTCATGTGCATAATTGCTTGAACATCGTCAATTGCATCCCTATTTCGTTCCTATTTGAATTTGATGTGATTTTAGGGTGCTTTAGATGATACATGCGAATTAGGTACAAAATAAGGTCACAAGTGTAGCAAGGGGGTAGAAGACTCATAACTCATAAGGTTATATGGTATAGGATACATGGTTAGGATATATGGTATATAGTTTAGGTTTAAGGTATTTCAAAGATTCCTTTTTAAATTAACTAGAGTAGCAAAATCGTAACTCAAAAATATATGGTTAGGGTATGAGACATGTGGTTAGGGTATATGGTATAGCGAAATAATCATTCCATATAAAACTATAATAAAATAATTAGTCAAGCCTCCATATAAAAATTAAATTATCCATATTTGAAAGGTTCAAATTTTATATCTCAATTTTTTTGAACTTTTTTCTTTCAGAAAAATTGAAAACACTAAAATTCCCCTTATTCTTTCTCTTTCTATAAATTAGACGTACTCAAATTTTCCTCAGCTTTCCATTCCATACAATGGAAAGAACCAAATTTCCCTTCTATTTCTTTTCTCAAAAAGTTAAAAACACAAAATAGTCCTTATTTCTCTTTCCATAAGTCAAAAGAACCAAAATTCCTCTCTTCTTTTTACTCGCACAAATCAAAAACACCAAAAAATTTCTTTCTTTCTTTTCTAAAAAATTGGGAGCACCAAATTTCTATCTTCTTTCTTTTACGAAAAAGTCGAAAACACCAAAATTTATCTCTTCTTTTAAAATCATCAAATTATCAAATGCATTACTTTACTTTACTTTTTTTATATTTATTTAATAACTTTGTTGAATAGTCAAATTAACAACAACAAAAAATGTTGAATCAATTGCTTTTATTGCCAAATAAGAAACTGATACAACGAAGCGGAATCACAAAGGATCCTAAGAGAACCAACTCACAAGTACCCACTCACCTATATGAACCTACTTACAGAAGAAGAACCAAAACAAAACTATAAGTATCCAAGCTTTGTAAGTGCATCACGAACTCCTCTATTCCCACAAGCTATAAACATAAAGTTCTCCTTTATCAATTCAACTACCTTCATAGGATCGCTACAAGGTGAGCCATGAACCACCTTGCATCTTTCTTTCCATATAAAAGACACTGTTAGGCACCATACTAGAGCATGCCATTTTGCTGCTTGCGAGTTCCTGCGTACAACAAGACTAAGAACCTGCACCATTGTATCCCAGTCACTATGCCTCAATAAATGGCACTGCAAAAGTGTGGCAAGTCTAAGAAAGTAGGAGCAGCGAAGGAACATCTGATCTCTAGTCTCGACATCCACACCACAGAGATGGCAGAAAGCATCCCTCATCTTACCCCATTTCAATAGCTTGTCTCGTGTAATAATAGAATTCTTCATTAATAACCAAGCAATCAGAATATACCGGGGGGGGGGGGGGATAGCTATTGCTCCACACGAGGTTGTGCCACAAGACCTATGGAGCCTTCTTCCTCAATGTTTCCCACACTTTACAAATTGAGTAAACCATCATCTCCTTTGAATCCCAAAAAATGGTACCATTTTGCTGATGCGTCCATGGTAAAATAATATACTGCAATTTATTCATACATCCATGCCACCCACAACGTCCCAGACTTCATCAGGAACAACCAAAGCATTCGGATAGTGCAGGCTTGATTCTAACTAGCAGATCCTTCACCCTAGACCGCCCTCCTGTTTAGGTAAAGCAACAGAGTCCCATACCACTTTAGCTCTGCCAGCATCAGTCCCATGCCATAATAAATGGGAGAAAACCTTATGAATCCGCTTAAGAACCTTCTTGGAAAGGACAAAGAGCTGCATCCAGTATTGGACAACTCCTTGCAGCACTGAGATAAGTAGCTACAGTCTCCTTGCATAAGTCAGTTGCTTTGCTCGCCATGACTTAATTCGCTTGGTAATCTTATCTACCAGAATGTCCACCTCCTTTGATGATAATTTTCCAGTCATCAAAGGTAGCCCCAAATATCTTACTATTAGCTCACCTTCCCTGAACTCGGAGAGAATCAAGGCGTTGCTTTATATTTAATGGACTCTCCACCAAAATAAACTTCACATTTCGCAGAGTTGCTTTTAAGCCCTGACAACTAATAAAACTGTTGCAGCACTGCTTTGACCTGAAGGATCGCTTGAGCCGATCCAGTAGTAAACACAAGTATATCATCTGCAAAGCACATGTGATTTAATGCAACTCGCTGGCACTGAGGATGGAAAGGAATCAATCCTGATTGACTTGCAGACGTCACCATGGCAGATAGGCTTTCCATAGTAATGGTAAAAAGATATAGTGATAACGGATCACCTTGTCGGACTCCTTTCCTAGCCCTAAAGAAGCCACAGAGACTGCCATTGACGTTTATACTATAATGGGCAGTCTGAATACACGCCTTAATCCACTTCATAAACCTCTCAAGGGAACCCATGGCATTCATCATAAGAAAAAGGTACTTCCAATTAACTGATTCGAATGCCCTCATTATATCTATCTTTATTGCACAACGAGAAGACAAACCACTCCTATTATAACCGCTAACTAGTTCCTGAGCTAGCAAAACATTGTCCATTATACTTCTCCCTTTGATAAAAGTCGGCTGAGTATTACTGATGTTCAGGGGCATAACTTCTCTAATTCTCCTAGCAAGAATCTTAGCCACTATTTTGTAGAGGAAATTCACACAAGAAATAGCCCTAAATTTCTTCAAAGTATCAGCACTAGAGATTTTTGGGATCAAAGACACTGCAGTAGAATTCACTCCACTAGGAAGTGTACCTGTGTTCAAGAAGTAGAGGATCCCTCTGGTGACATCATCTCTAATAATTGACCATGTCTTCTTGTAGAATCCGGCAGAAAAACCATCGGGCCCTGGAGCCTTCTTAGAATTCATGCCAAAAACCACACTTCGAATTTCCTCTGCTGAGATATCTTTAATAAGAGACTCACATTCAGATGAAGGTATTTTCTTTCGAACCATCTGTGAAACCTCTTCTTCCCCAGGATTGATCTCCAAGTTAGCCCCCCCCCCCCCCCCCCCCCCCCCCCCCCCCCCCCCCCCCCCCCCCCAGCATCAGTCCCATGCCATAATAAATGGGAGAAAACCTTATGAATCCGCTTAAGAACCTTCTTGGAAAGGACAAAGAGATGCATCCAGTATTGGACAACTCCTTGCAGCACTGAGATAAGTAGCTACAGTCTCCTTGCATAAGTCAGTTGCTTTGCTCGCCATGACTTAATTCGCTTGGTAATCTTATCTACCAGAATGTCCACCTCCTTTGATGATAATTTTCCAGTCATCAAAGGTAGCCCCAAATATCTTACTGTTAGCTCACCTTCCCTAAACTCGAAGAGAATCAAGGCGTTGCTTTATATTTAATGGAATCTCCACCAAAATAAACTTCACATTTCGCAGAGTTGCTTTTAAGCCCTGACAACTAATAAAACTGTTGCAGCACTGCTTTGACCTGAAGGATCGCTTGAGCCGATCCAGTAGTAAACACAAGTATATCATCTGCAAAGCACATGTGATTTAATGCAACTCGCTGGCACTGAGGATGGAAAGGAATCAATCCTGATTGACTTGCAGACGTCACCATGGCAGATAGGCTTTCCATAGTAATGGTAAAAAGATATAGTGATAACGGATCACCTTGTCGGACTCCTTTCCTAGCCCTAAAGAAGCCACAGAGACTGCCATTGACAATTATACTATAATGGGCAGTCTGAATACACGCCTTAATCCACTTCATAAACCTCTCAAGGGAACCCATGGCATTCATCATAAGAAAAAGGTACTTCCAATTAACTGATTCGAATGCCTTCATTATATCTATCTTTATTGCACAACGAGAAGACAAATCACTCCTATTATAACCGCTAACTAGTTCCTGAGCTAGCAAAACATTGTCCATTATACTTCTCCCTTTGATAAAAGTCGGCTGAGTATTACTGATGTTCAGGGGCATAACTTCTCTAATTCTCCTAGCAAGAATCTTAGCCACTATTTTGTAGAGGAAATTCACACAAGAAATAGCCCTAAATTTCTTCAAAGTATCGGCACTAGAGATTTTTGGGATCAAAGACACTGCAGTAGAATTTACTCCACTAGGAAGTGTACCTGTGTTCAAGAAGTAGAGGATCCCTCTGGTGACATCATCTCTAATAATTGACCATGTCTTCTTGTAGAATCCAGCAGAAAAACCATCGGGCCCTGGAGCCTTCTTAGAATTCATGCCAAAAACCACACTTCGAATTTCCTCTGCTGAGATATCTTTAATAAGAGACTCACATTCAGATGAAGGTATTTTCTTTCGAACCATCTGTGAAACCTCTTCTTCCCCAGGATTGATCTCCAAGTTAGCCCCCCCCCTCCCCCCAGTAGTTTCTTATAAAAATTAATCACTTCCTCAACAATCTGACCAGACTGGAAGATCTTCTCCCATGATTCCTTAACCAGCTTCCTGATAGCCTTTTTTTGAATTGGGAATCTTCACAGCCTGATGAAAGAATTTTGAACTTTCATCCCCAACTGTCAACCAAGACACCCTGGATTTCTTGCAACAAAAACTTTCATAAGCCAAATTTTTTTGATCATAATGATCTTTATCTTGCATAACTGCCTGAAAGTGCTCTGCTATAGGATCCGAGAAGGCCCTAATTTGAGCTCTTAGCAACTCAACTTCAGACCATTTAACTTGATCACGAATATTCCCATAAATCTCTTTGTTAAACTTCTTCTGAGCCTGTTTAACCCTACGTAACTTGCTTTGAACAATCTGTAAGGGTGTGCCCGAAATTTCAATATTCCAGGCTTCCCCAACAATTTCCATAAAAAGCGGATGCTCTGCCCAAAACTCAAAGTACTTGAAGGGTTTGGGCAAAGATTTAATGGGAGAAACTGTACAAACCTGCACCCCACAATGATCAAAAAAAATTGCAGGGATAACCTCCATATCACAATCCTTGAAGTACACCATCCATTCCAAATTCACCAGGGCTCTGTCTAGCTTCCTAGCAATAGGATGATTAACCTGCCTGTTAGTCCATATGTATTGAGGACCTGTAGTTCATTCAGCATCTCCATCTCCCCTACCCACTGATTAAAGTCATCCATACTAGGCGTAGAAGACCTTTGATTAAAAGTTTCAGTAGGTACACGTACAGTATTAAAATCTCCACCAACTATCCTGTGACATTCTACAACCTTAAACTGTGCAATGTCCCTATAAGTACTCTGTTGTTCTGCCTCATCATTGGACGCATAAACAACAGCCATAAAGAAACTATCCTTGTTAAGATCCTCAACCAAACAATGAACATAATTCTTCCCTGGCTTGAGAACCTGAAGTTTAATTTCAGGATCCCAAAATAGCAAAACACGACCCAATTTTGAATATAAACAGTTAAGACACTTCTCCCACCCAACAAATAGCTCCTCTACCACCTCATCAAATTTATTAGCTTGTATTCGGGTCTCAAGAATAGCAACTACATCTACCTTATCCCGCATCAAATCCCTCTGCTTGGAGGTTTTGTTAAACCCCCTTAAATAGAACAATCATCTCGAAGTTGGGGGTTTCCCCCATCCTTCCTCAAATCCTTCTTTACCTCCTTTTTCCTTGGAGCATCCTGCACCTTGCTTGCCTCTTTATCTCCAAGCTTCCCCAAAATGCTGAAGGATGAAGAAGAAACCTGAATGCCCTTAAAGCTTCCCTGGGACAACCAGACTCTAGGTTGAGCCCCATTGAAACTCATCCTCTAAGGACAGCTTAGGCGAAGAAGAGTTAGCAACCGCTTGAAATGACTTCTCCAGGTTCTTAGGAACAATCCTGCCCCCTTCCATTGATGTCGGACTAGTAAAGATAGGCATCAACTGAGGATCGTCATCATACACAACCACCTCCTTACCTTTTCCACTAGCAACCTGCTTGTCAACTTCAACTGTCTGAGCCACCACCTCTTCAACAGCTTCCTGTTCCTGAGTAGAAACCTCGTGCTCCTTCTGCATTTGCTTAGCCATCCATTGCTTACCTTGATGTGCTGCACATGAACCAGTAATCCCAAACAGATGACAAACATGACACACTAGGGGTAAGTTACAATAGGTGACCCCAATACGGATAGGGGAGTCATCATCTGGCCAAAGCATAACATGATCAGGACACTCACTCTCGACCGTAAGCTCCACCAAGACTTTGGCAAATCCATGTCTATCCCCCCATTCGAGTAGTATGATCAACTCCCAGAGGAACACCAATCCAACTAGCAATTCTGCTCAGCCCCTAATATACAAGAGTGAGGATCGTCACCATTGTACAACAAATTTTAAAAAATAAACACGAAATATAAATCCGTATAAATTCATTATACTCAAGTGGAACATTCGATAAATTCACCCAAATTGATAGTGCTTTCCTCCCTAAATCCTCAGAACTGATACTAGGAACCCATGTCTTGAGATAGAGCAAATTATTAAACCAAAACCACGGACCATTCTCAAGTATCCATTCACAAACCTTCTGATTAGGTAACTGAATCAATAACATCTTATCATACAGCAGAGAAATCCTTACCAGCCCATCCCGCCCCCAAAGCTTGTTTACCCATCGGCACAAAACATACAATGGAGGTGGATCTTGAAGGAATTGCCCCACGAGATTGTTTTTCCATTGAGCTGCTCCTACTTCCCGAATCGCTTTAGGCATCAACAACCCTCCACTAACAACCTCCAGTGGAATATACGTAAGGCGGTTGGCCATAGAGATCCGGAACAGCGACACTCGGGGTTTTGAAGGAATCCCCCGAGAGTCACTCCTTAGCACCTCCGATGCCGGAGTAATAAACCACATCACTCCCCTCACACATAAGAACATAACAAGAGGGGAAAGGAGCTGCTCCAGCGCAGATGCATGAGCCGGCAGTGAGGAAAGCATGATCGAACCCTCGTGCACCCGAATCGTTCTCTCTCTCACAACTCTCTCGCGGGATCGTGTGTTAGTTTTGCAGGAGCTTAGACTATAAACAAAACTTTTAATTTATATATCCTATATTAATGTTGTACAAGATCTCAATTATTAATTATTCATTATCAATATTGACATTGTAGGTATTTATATTTCGTGTTTATTTTTTAAAATTTGTTAAAAAATTTAGTGTTCAAGTGACCTTCATGTTTAATTTTTGTAATTTTATTAAAATATGATTTACCTAGATTTAGAATGGAAAAATTGATTTCGAAAGACTATGTATTATATAATATGATAATTATTCAGGTGGATCCGGGGGGTTCAGGTTGAGTCGGCCGAGTCACGGGTTAGTCGGGTTCAGGTAAATTGAGTTCTGGTTAATCAGGTTGCAGGTCAGTCCAGTTGTGGTTAATGGGGTTGTGGGTCACTCAGGATGCGGGTCAATCGGGTTACGGTTTAATCGGGGTGTGTCAGACGGGTTACGGGTTATTGACTTTTAGTCAATTCGGGTTACTGGTCGGGTTAGTCGAGTAGGGTTCTATTTTGACACCTCTGCTAATCTCCCTCACTCGAGGTCACATAGAAAGTTAATATTGAAATCTCTCACTCCCAATCAAAAAGTAAAAAAGTGACATCAAGACCAATGAAACCAGATACTATGTTGTTCCGTTTTTTGCATTTGTTGATTTTTTTCATATTCTCTATTTCTCTTCTATTTACCATCTTAGTTGAAAATTCATGGTAAATCCTAGCTTTATCTTTTTGATTGTTCGACTTAATAGACCTATAATCAGTTATCTTTTTTGTTGGAACTAACAAGAGAACCACAATAATAATTCTCAACAATTCAAATCAAGTTCCACAACGAATAATGATTTTTCAAGTTTACTTTTATGTTTGTTGTTCGGTTGTTCCCCAACTGGTACCAATTCATTGATGAGTGAGTCCATTTTTAATTGTTTAATTCAATTTATTGCAAATGTGTTTCCTCAATTCATATTCAGCTGCTTAGATGTTGTTATTCGTGGAATCTCTTACCATGATTGATTTTATTACCTTTTACTTTTTTTAAAAATGGGAGTTAGACCTGCAGTTTTTTAAGTTTGTGTTTCTTATATTTTAGTTTATTCTCTCTTATAATTACAATTCACATGTAACCTTTTATATTCCTCGCTTGACGCTTAGTGCAGTCAGTAGACTCCTCTGGTGAAAACTTAAAAAAAAAATGTTGAATTCGTTGCCTATGGGGTTGAACCTTGATAACATGGAAAAAGATTAGCTAATCTGGGTCACCCCAACTTTATTCTATCAATATGGCATAATTTTAAAATTTTGGACCTTTGAGATCCCACATTGCGCTCCCCCTGCTACTTGTAATCTAAAAGTAACGTACAAGTGCGTTGTAAAGAACCAGGAAACCAACCAAAAACGAACACCGGAATTTAACGTGGTATCCCCGATAGCACAGGACTAATCCACGGGAGAGACGACACTCTCCAAACAGCTTCACTATAATCAAATCGGCTTACCCTAGTACAGAGGATGGCTTGGCTATAGATAGTCTATGGAGATACACGTACATGACATATTACATAAACACACTAGACACATGGCAAGTTACAAGTTGGTACCCAAACTATAAACTTCAACACCCTCCCTCGAATTGATGTGTTGTACGCAACATCAATTTGGAGGACAGATACCAATGCCTACTTGATGAGACAACCTTCGTCAAAAGATCTGCTGTCTGGTCTTCTGTAGATAGGTGCCCAACTCGTATCAATCCGTCTACCACCAGCTGTCTAATGTAATGAACGTGGACCTCAATGTGCTTGGTCGTGTCATGTAACACAGGATTAACTGCAATCTGTATTGCACTCGTGTTATCCCCATATATCTTCATTGGGATTGGACATTCAACCCCCAATTCTCCTAGAAGACGATGAAGCCAAACCATCTCGGAACTCACCTCAGACATAGACCGATACTCCGCTTCATTTGATGACTTCGATACTCGATCTTATTTACGACACCTCTAAGATACAAAGGACTCACCGATCCTGACACACCATCATGATGTTGACCTGCGAGTATCTAAACAACCAGCATAATCAGCGTCAGCAAATGCCTCAATGGTCGGATCACCCGCTGCTGGAAAGAACAACCCTGCATCATGTGTCTGCTTGAGATATCGTAGAAGTCTATGAACTGCGGCCAGATGGAAATTCGTCGTTACACCCACATACTGACTCACCACTTGAACAACATAAGAAATATCAAGTCTTGTGTGAGTTAATTAAATTAAGCTTCCTACCAAACTACGATACTGGTGTTGATCTTCCATCTCTTCCCCCCCCCCTTCACGGCTCAGTTTCAGGTTCTGCTCCATCGGCGTGGAACACGGAACACATTCAAGAAACTGGGAGGACTCCAAAAGATCAAGGATATATTTGCGTTGAGAAACAAATAACCCCTGTGGGTAACGCTTCACTTACAAGCCCAAGAAGTATGATACTTCTCCCATTTCCTTCAAATTAAATGCACTCCGCAAGACTTATGTGACCTCGTGGATGCCCCCAACATCACTACCAGTGACGATCATATCGTCAACATAGATCAAGAGAATAACTATGCCATATACAATACTCCGCATAAAGAGCGAATGATCATTTTGACTCTGTGAGAAACCAGCCTGCAGAATCGTACCATGGAACTTGTCAAACCATGCCCGAGGCGCCTGTTTTAGGCCATATAATGAACGATTCAATCGACAAACCATGCTAGAATCGCCTTTCTTGTATCCAGGAGGACGTTCCATATAAACTGTGTCCTTCAAATCGCCGTGTAGAAATGCATTTTTCACGTCAAGTTGAAGAAGTGACCACCCTTTCATTGTCGTGACTACAGAAACACACCTGAAAGTCTGCGTCTTGACAACTGGTGCAAATGTCTCATCATAATCGATACCATATTCCTGCTTGAAACCCTGAGCACCACTTGAGCCTTAAAGCGCTCAATCTCTCCATCCGACAACATCTTAATGTTATAAACCCATCGGCTTCCAATAACCAACATATCTGGCCGCCGGGGCACCAAATCCCATGTACGATTTTCTTCAAGAGCATCCATTTCTACCCGCATAGCCGCGTTCCATCGCGGATCCCCAATTGCTTGAGAATACCGTGTCGGAATGAAGATCGGAGTAGTAGAGAAGCCAACAAAATCTTGCATACGTAGAAGTGGCTGTCCCAAGTTAGCACGTGTTGACCGACGCAAGGGAATAAGAGGTGAGGCTGGAGGTTCAGGATTGTCTTTGTCACTACCCTGCGATCCGGCCGAACTTGTGGGAGAGGAAGAAATAGAAGATGACACTGATCCAACCGAAGTGAACGAGTGTGATGAAGTGGGAGAAGCTTCCTGTGAAGCACTCGAGGAAGAAGAGCTAGCAGTTGAACTGGCCCTAGAGGCTATATAAGGGACAGGGGGTTGCTGCACTTCAAGGATAGGAGTCTAGAAGTCGGGCAGGGATGTGAGAAATTCCAATGATGATGCCGAGCTGGCCTCAGCATGCGATGAGGTATAGTACATAGTCGTCTCAAGAAACTTCACATGATATCCCACTCTCATAAGACGAACAACGAGATCATAACATAGATATCCCTTGTGTTTGTAACTATACCCGACAAACACGCACCGCGCCACTTTAGGCGCTAACTTATGACGATCCTTCTTGGGCAACAAAACGTAACATGTGCAGCCAAAGACCCGAAGAAAAGAATAGTCTGGAACTCTCGAGTAGAGCATCTGATACGGTGATTTTTGACCCAATAATGGCGTGATCTGACGATTAATTAGATACACGATTGAATGCGCAAATGAAAGAGAATAGCTCTAGTCAGCTCCAATGCATTGCGGTTCTTACGCTCGACTACCCCATTCTGTTGGGAGACACCGTGACACGATTGCTGCGGAAGGATCCCTACGGATTTAAAGAACAAGAGCATATCATTATACACGAATTCACCACCTGGATCAGATCTCAGTATCTTCACAATCTTGCCAAACTGAGTCTAACCATTTGAATAAATTCCTTAGCGACCGTAATGAGATAAGTACACCCATGTATACCTCGTAGTATGATCAATAAACAACGCGAAATATCTGAACCCCAACCGAGAAAAAACTGGTGATGGTCCCCAAAGGTCGGTATGCACCAAATCGAAAGGATAATCATAAATAGTCTCACTGTTAGAGAACTAAACTTGTGAGGCCTTTGCCTCTATGCAACTTTCACAATTAGATAAACCACTCAACTATGAAACACTTAATTTATTGGGTAACACATTCTGCCGAAACATAGTCTTTAATCTCCCTGCATGAGGTTGACCCAGTCTACGATTCCACAATTCCCATAAAGAATTACCAACTGAAACATTTGAACTATAAGCTGAAAAATTCACAGTAGCTTGTTTATTTGGAAAACAACCCAAAGTGTCCAATCCACACAAACTCCCCCTGTGCAACTTGCTTCCAAGACTCAACCCTCACGTCTCGTCATGAAGACCCCATGCACTGGACGCCATGCACGCCGCCAACCTGCCCACGTCACCCGAATGAAGATCATCAAGAACAAATGTTCGACCTTGTTTACTTCCCCACCCGATCACCCTCCCCGTCGTCCGGTCCTGCACAACACAACCATGGGAGTCAAACATGCGGTACAACCATCATCTGTCAGCTGACCCACCGAGACCAAATTAGGACGAAGTTGAGGGACGTAAAGAGTATGAGGAAGAGTGATCGAACCCGTCTGAACTGTACCCAAACCTACTACCGGAATCGTGGCACCATTGGCCACTTAAAGACTCATAAAATCAGCTGGTCGTAAGTGCAGTTGAGTATAAGATCCATCGAGCGGACTTACGAGACACAGTAGTGGTCGCAAAGGCGGTAGATAAAGCCTCTTGCAATGCGTCCTGAACTAAGCGCCGGATCTGATAAGGGGAGAGGGAGGCAGCTTCAGTGCTTCCCGCAGAAGCACCCACAATTGAGGACTCACTAGTGACGGAATAATCCGTGCCACGTGAGGATGAAGAGGCGGGATTATGTTTGCCGCGCCTACTCAGGGTCGGGCATTCAAGAGCAATGTGACCCGAATGCTTGTAGTAGTTACAGAAGTTCTTTTTCTTGCAATATATTTTTGAATATGACCAGACTCGCGGCAAAAATGATAGATTAGTTCACTAGGATTGGGGCGAGTGAACTGAGGGAGGGATGCCGCAGCAGGCCTTCCCACCGCAAAGGCGGATTCAGCATGAGAACTCTGGCCATCAATTTGAGATTGACTTTTTAGCCTTGTCTCTTCTCTCATGAGTTCAGCAATCACATCCTCAATCCGAGTAACATTCCGATGAATCAATGATGCTCGAATTGGTTCAAATTCGGAGCGGAGCTTCGCTAAGAACTTCAAAACGCGAGTCCGAGCTTGCTCAGCAACAATAACAACAAATGCAGCAGCAGGAATAAGATTAGCCGTCAATAAATCATACTCGATCCACAAGTAAAGACTAGCCTGAAAGTACCCCTGAATGTCACGATCTCTTTGAGCTAAGCGATCAATTTCAGTCTCCAATTCAAATTGTCGGGAAGCACTATTCTGAGCATAGGTAGTGCAAATATGCTGCCACATATCATGCGCCATATGAAAACGGCGTAAGCTCAGAGCTGTCGGGATGTCCACAGATCCAGTGAGCCACGTAATAAGCCACGCATTAGCAGCATGACAGTCTTCCACATCACGAGTCGCAGCATCCGCAGCCGCCTGCTTCGTTTGGCCCGTCAAAACAGGGAAAAGTCTCTTACAAGCAACAAAGTTCTGAAACTGGAACTCCCAAAGTGCGAAATTCGTGCCGTCAAACTTAACAGAGATGGAATCCATTTTAGACATATCCATAATAACCAAGAACTACCACAAGCAAGTGATAAGAAACCACCTGACACCAAACGCAGCCCTGAACAAAACCAAAAGGAAACCTCTCGGTGAACAAAAGGAACGCGTCAAAATAAATCCCCAGCCAACCAACACAGCCCCGCGAAACCCTAGCGACAGCAACCACAATAACCCTTCGAGTTGCACGAACTCAACGAAGAGATAACAATAGCTGCGCAAACCAAAATTGTGAGGAGAACCAACTAACCTTTAGAGTAGAGGCTCTGATACCATGTAAAGAACGAGGAAATCAACCGAAAACGAGCACAGGAATTTAACGTAGTATCCCTGATAGCACATAACTAATCCACGGGAGAGACGACACTCTCCAAACAGTTTCACTATAATCAAATCGGCTTACCCTAGTACAGAGGATGGCTTGGCTATATATAGTCTATGGAGATACACGTACATGACATATTACATAAACACACTAGACACATGGCAAGTTACAAGTTGGTACCCAAACTATAAACTTCAACATGCATTACAACGCATTGATACATAGTACTTCCAATTATAATTGATGAAGAAATAGCACACCATGACGAAAGAGAAAAAAAAACATTGGAGAATGAAATGCAGAAGTAGAACAGGAAGATCAATTTGAGCAAAAACTAAATAGCAAAATACCCAAAACCAAAAAAAAAAAAAAAAATGAGAGAAAAGAATCCCAATCATCAACCGCCCACCACCAGTACGAACACTAGTCAAAATCCATACCATCATAAGGAGGAGGAGGATAAGAAGAGGAGGAAGAAGAAGAGGTGTAATTATTATGAGCAGCACTCCCGAAGTGCATGGAAAACGGCCTCCATAGCTCCTCCTCCTGTTGCTGTCGTTGTTGGTGCAGCGATTCGGACGCTGACGTGGAAGACATAGCCGATATCGTTGTCGGGAAAGGCTGGTACCCCGTCGTCGGAGCCGGCTGGCCACCGAATGAGTAGGTGAAGCCATAACCACCGCTCTGAACAAACTGCTGCTGCTGCTGAGGAGGATGATGAGGAGGCCGAGGATACAAGCTGGGATGATAGACTTGACTACTGTTATGAAGCTGAACAGCACCGCCGCGGCCACCGGCGAGATTATAAGAAGGTGTCGGCGGTTGGCGGTTGGTGAGGTAGCCGGAGTGGGAAGGGTTGAGGTGGACGCGCTCGGGGAAGTTGAGCTTGGCCTTGCTGCCTTTGAAGCGGAGGGCGGCCTCGTCGTAGGCTAGCGCGGCCGCCTCGGCGGTGTCGAAGGTGCCCAGCCAAACTCGGGCTGCTTTTTTGGGGTCTCGGATCTCCGCCGCCCATTTCCCCCACGGCCTTTGCCGAACACCTCTGTAGTGCCGCCTTCTGGTGTTGTCTCCGCCTGCTAATATTGCACCAACGCGTATATTTATCACATTGATTCTAGATGCATGCAATATAATCTAATATTATTATATAGATGCACGGATGCATTTAATTTAGTCTTCAAAAAATAAGTAAAGTCAGATTTTCATGTTCTTTTTTTTTTATCACTACTACTTACTTTCCCCTTGTTTCCTAAGTGGGAAGGGAATTGTTGAGCTTTGATTACTTTGTTCATTTGTTGACGTCTGCAGTCTGCACTTTACGCGTAAAGAATATATGAGAGCAGAAACGCTTTTGAAGCAACTTCTTTTTGACATGTGCTTTTTTAATTGAGGTTTCATACTCTTGGTCACTATATATACTCAAATGTTTATTATCATTGACAAGTTGAAGAATAAACGAGCTTATATATGTTTATGGGTTTTTGTGATTCAGTTCAAATTCCATAGTACAAAATCATTGCCGCAAATAACGAATTCAAGTCCTACATATATAAACTAATTAAGGATGTTAATCTACTGCGTGTGATAGTGTTCAAAAAGGCACGTTTAACCTTACGTTTGTTCATCATTTTGTACAAACGGCTATTTTTGCTTGCAACGCCTAGACACAGTTATGAAACGACTAAACGAGCTAAACGATAGTTAACAAGCCCAATGCCAGTCCGTCTTACGCCTAGTACCTTCTTGAATTTGCACTTGTATGTTCTACTATCGATTGATTTGGTAGAGGGTGGGGGAGGGAGAAAGAGAGGAGTTACAATGGGGAAAGAGAAAGCGGAGGTGCAAAAATTTACTAAGGAACTTTGGTAGCAATAACACTAGCTAGTTCAGCATGTAGTCAGTCATACGACAGATAATCAACCAAGTGAAAAAACGGAGAAAGGAGTAGTACGGCGGCATCTATATTTGACTCATTATTTGGGCCGTGGTGCTTCTTTCCCCTCCTCCACTTCACCATTAAAATCAAAGTGCATAAATCTATTTACAGAGTTTAATTAAGTGAACCATCACCATACAAGTATGTGCTTAGCTTCTTTCATCACGTTACATCTTCATTATTTACAATACCTCATACGTAACTACATTAATCGTCAACAATGAGAATTTAGACATTTTACCTAAGCGAGTTGTAGACTACTAAAAAGGAAAACAAAGACTAGAATACTATTCATATCGTATGACCCGAAACAAAAAGCTAGCGTTGATCCATCCAGGAGAAGATCATCGTCGCAATACAAATTTGTGGTCCAAGAGGGAGGAGAAAGCTAATTAAGAGGTCGTTGACACAAATGATGTTTCAAATGGTTAATTGTAGTGAATCATTTCCATGAATATATATAGAAATATGCAAAAATACATACCTTGATCGTGATCTTGGACAGGCGGCGGAAGCTGTTGAGGAGGATGGCCTGCAGCTGCTTCTTGATGGTAGGGTTGAACAACACGGCGGCCATCAACTGACGATGAAGAGCTGCCGATGACTTGAGAGAGAGCGGAGACCATCACATCCAAATCCAGCTGAGATCTGGCTGAATACACCGGGAACCCATTATCATCGTCGTCCACTCCCATTTCAGTACTACTGGCTGCAGCTGCTTCCTGATTCCCGCCATACTTCTTCTTCCTTCGATCCATTTCGGTCACGAATCGATCAATGGATCATATGAAACTTATTGTTTTGGGAGCTGTGGCTAGCTAGCATATATATATATATAAGGGAAGTAGGAGGCAGTAAAGGGGTTGGTGATGGACATATATTCGAGGATTGTCGTTGAAGCATGAAATTAATTACAAGGGGATAGGTATGAGCGCTGGAAGAGAGGGGGGAACAAATGAAAAAGTTGAGAAAGAAAGATAGGGTTTGATGTTTGTTTCGGGGGAGAGAAGGGAGCGTGGGTTTGTGTTGGATCTGGCTTAGGGTGTGAATACTAACTTGGAAGTCTACTCCAAATGCTGTGTTTCACTGTTCGGTCGCTTCCTCCTTTTTTTTTCCCCCCACCAGGCAGGAAAACAAATATATACACGTGGAAATTAAGAAGTTATGGTTTGAATCTTGCTTTAACTTGCAGTACATGATATAAGACGATGTTGTTTGTCTTTGTGCATCCACAAATGGCCAAATTAAGGTTTCAACAGAGCAAGCTAAGCATGTTGCTATGTATCAATAGTTCAATACACTAGTAGCCAGGGAGCTTGTGCGGAGCCACACCATAATCAACGTGTTACGGGACACACTTAGTTCTTAGTAAAATATGATCAACTTATAAGTATGTGTTGGGTGTATGGCTCGGGTCTAGTCGCGCCAAGGAAGCATCCCGGCATGCCCCAGAAGGGTCAGGCGCATCAATACCACCGCAACCAAGGCCGCACCCGCGCGAGGATCATAGCCGAAAATCCCAGACTCCGAACGACGACGTTTCAATTAAGCCTTGACCAGACCAAGAAACCATGAAAACGACGTCGCATTCCCCGAAGAGTGGTCACATCATAGTCCTAGGTATAATCATGGACAAATCTTCTAGTCCTAGGTAGAGGTGCGGCCTAAACTTAGGGGTGGCTATACGGTCCGGTCTGGTTAAATTGGCCCAAATTGATCCGGTCCAGTCCGGTCTTTTTGAAAATATAAGGACCGAAGATTGGATTGGATACAGTCCGGTCTTGATCCGGTCCGGTTTTGATCCGGTCCGGTGCCAATTCGGTCTTGATTTTACATTGATATTGTGGGATTTGAGTGGCCTAAGGCCTTAAAGGGTGAGGAGTTGGTTAAGTTCTGTACTAAGTGTAAAGGTTTGTGACCGTTTATGCAAATTACCCTTAAGTTTTGGGTGTTGAGCTCTCTTATCCGGTCTTTATCCGGTTTTTTTACCTCAAATCTAAGCCCAAAGATTGGATTAGATTGTTTACTATCCGGTCCCGGTCCGGTCTCGGTCCCGGTCCGGTCTCGGTCCGGGTTATACGGTCCGGTTTCTGGTTTTTAATCCGGTCCCGGTCCAAATAGCCACCCCTACCAAACTCCTGACATGTTAGCAGTCATGTGACATTAGATAACTCACCCACCACCATGTAGCCTATAAATATGGCATATACTCCGGTGGGTGAAGGGATCACATTTTTACTCTCTCACTCTACCTATTAAGAACTTTATCTCTCTAAGAATTTCCTCTGCCCTAACTTCCCTGTTGCTTACTCTCCTCACCCACCTTTCATCCGAGTCTCCCTCCTACTCTCAGTTAGACTCAAACAGTATGCATATATAGGAAATCAAACTCATCAACGTCTCTTAGACAAGAGCATAATATTTGACCATTGCAGTCCAGCTCATTTCTTGTTATTTGTAGCCATAAACTTTATTCATAAGATCATAAGCAAATCCACAATTGCATTTGCATCAATGAAATGAATATATGTGCATACAAAATTTGATATTTTGTATGAAAAACAAAAATAAAGCATTATCTAAATAAAAACATAAATTAATGACATGACATGACTAATATACCCAAATAGTTTGAGAGACTGGAACACACCCTTAGTGGGCTCACTTTTAAGGGAGAAGTAAAAAAATGAAAGCAAATGTTAGCTAGACACACTACCGATAAATTAGGTCGAGAATAAGGTATAAACAGATGGAATAGAATAAACAATACATGTAAGAAATATTTAAAATTCATATACCGATACATCCTCAATAATTCAAATTATCGATATCAATTGGTTCTTTACATAGTATAAGAATTTGGTTCTCTGTTATGTCATATGTTCAAGTTCTCACACCCTAATATTAAGCATTGTCTTAAAGCCACCAACCTGTACAATTTTCAAGTCCACGAGTTTGTTTTTGTTTGAGAAGGCGTGTAAGAAATGATTAAGATCCATATAGTTTCTTCCAACAACTCAAATTATTGAGACTAATTGGTCCTTGAAAAACCCACATTGAACAAGTCAGACGAGTCAGATAGAGTGCATTGAATCATATTTTTCTATAAAAAAAAAGATTGCCTTGAATCATATTTTTCATCACTTAATAGCATTGATATTGTTATTGTGGTAAGGCGCGCAAGAGTTTTTTTAATGTGGTATCGTTAGTATGACACTATTCCACCGAGAGGATCTCCCTCTCATATATTAAGATAATTATTTTTGGTCTCCACACGTTACAATATTTATAGGGTTAGAGGAAGTAACCCTAAACTATATGTTTTCTTGTAGAACACGGTTACAATAATAATGGTATAATTAACCCTCTTCAAGAAATTGATCATGTTGGGTACGCAATATCAATTTGAAAGTGAGATACCAATGTCTACTAGAGCTGGAAGCTTTTCTTAACCAATTGGCAGTCTGATCCTTCGTTGACAAATAAACAAGTTGTATTAATTACTCCTTCTGCCACCAACTGTCGTATATAATGAACATGAACCTCAATATATTTTGTTCTCTCGTGCAAGGATGAATTGATTACTATAAGCAATGCACTCGTGTAATCTCCATAGACACACATGGGTAGGTGACACTCTACCCCTAATTCCGCAACAGCCCACTGCAACCATACCAATTCCGACCTCACTTCAGACATCGACTTATACTCTGCCTCACTTGAAGATTTTGATACTTTATCCTACTTCCTTTACCTTCACGAGAAAAATGATTGACCAAAATGTATGCACCATCCAGATGTCGATCATCTCGTATCGATACATCCTGCATAATTCGCATAAGCAAAAGTCTCAAAAGTTGGTGCTTCTTTAGCAGGAAAACACATGTCGACATTGTGTGTATTCTTTAAATATCGAAGCAGTCTATGCAAAGAATCAAGTGTGGTCCTCTAGCCACTCCAAGAAACAAACTAAGGACTTGAACTACGTAGGAAATATCGGGTCGTGTGTGTGTAAGATATATCAGGATTCCAACTATATTGTGGTACATCGTATGGTCTTCAAGTAAGTCTCCAACCTCTTGACTTAGCTTAATATTTTGCTCCATAGGTGTTGCAATGGGTTTACACTCACTGAAATGATAAGAAGCCAGAAGATCTGCAACATATTTCTTATGACACACAAACAAACCACTCGAAGATCACCGAACTTCAAGTCCCAAGAGGTATGAGACATCGTATAACTCCTTAAGCTTAAAGGCGTAATGCAACGCATCTTTAAGCTCTCGTATCCCATCAAGATCACTCCTACTGATCACCTAGTCGTCAACATAAAGCAGTAAGACAATTATTCCATTTACCATATGTTGAATGAAAAGAGAAGGGTTGTTGTCGCTTTGCAGAAAACCGGCATGAATTATGGTCTCATAAAACTTCTCAAATCAAGCGTGTGGAGCTTGATTGAGGCCATACAAAGATCACCTAAGCTTACACATCACATCTGGTCCTACATTAGTATAACCTACTGAACACTCCATATAAATATCTTCCTTAAGATCACCATGCAAAAAGGAATTTTTAACATCAAGCTGAATAAGTGGCCAATATCGCATGGAAGCTATACCAAAATGACATGTACCATCTGCATTTTCACCACAAGTGCAAAGGTTTCCCCATAATCAATGTCAAACTCTTGACGGAAACCTTGTGCAACTAGACGGGCCTTGACGTGCTCAACTAGGGAAAATATATGTTATTTTACTAGTAGGATATATAATTTAAAAGGACACCTCTTAAGAAAACAAGAACTCTCGTTACTTATAGGAAAAAATAGGGATTTATGTCGTTTGAGGGGAGGAATCTAACATATAAATATACATGTTCTTAGCTGTCGACTTGCTGAGAAGCCAAGCTATGCACGACAGAGTAAAAGAAAGAGTGAAATTATATTTTTAATCAACTAATTTGGTGTCTGAAGAGTTGGTCGGAATGTCATTTGAATACAACGTATTTGTGACATGTATCCTACATTAAGGTGACCTCAAATTATTTTTAAATTTTTGAAATTCTCATAACCTTTCATCAAGTACCGAATAATGTATTCTTAATGGTTATAACACTCGTGAATAATCATTCATGACGTGTCTATTTATTGATGCCGTCACTTAGTTGTCTATGGTTAAAAAGAAAATTGTCATAACAAAAAAAGAGTATGTCTAAACAAGCATAACATACATAGGAAATACGTAACCATAACCTTTAGCCAATATGTGTTTCTCTTACTCAAGAAACAATAGATTAATATCAATATCTAAACTCTAAAGTTTTCTAAACAATGCAATAAAAAATTAATAAGAAATAACAATTTTCATCCATTCCCTATGCCATAAAAAAGTTTTTCCACCAGCGTACTAGAAATTTAGTTGAAGGATAATATTATTCCTTCAACAAATAAAATTAAACTTCTATTGCGGTAAACATACTAATATATATAACCACATTAAAGCATTCATGAAAACTCTAGCTCCAACTTTATGATTTTCCTTTCACTGCGATTAATTCATATTTAACCAAATAATTGCGACTGATACATATGGTTAATGACTCTATAATATATATAAAAATTAAATTAGTGATATAATATAGAAAATTAGTTCTTCAAAGTGTCTTCTTTTAAACTCACTTATGGGTCCAATAATGTCGGATTATCAAGAGATTAACTTTTATGGTTAACCGAACTAAGACTTTCGAAGAATTGGTTACTTATAGTCTGCAGAAAAATATTATTTATGGTAGTTCCAAAAACTAA